AATAGGTGCTGTGCCCGTCGCCTTTCTCCTCCTTGTGACAACGCTAGCCTCCATCTTTAGTAAAATTTCACTTATAGTCAAATCTCCAAAGTTTTAGGGTTGTTTTTAGAAAAACCGTCGCAGAGCATTGAAGGTACGCAGCCATCTTGGTCACAACCCGGAAGCCCCCAGGATATATTTTTTTAATGTGCAGTCTTCTCATAAATTAATAAATTACGGTTCCTTCCTAATTACAGAATTATATATGTCCTACATAGTTTATATAATCAAAAACTGAAAAAAACTCACGTATTATGTAATCTTAGACCATCCCAATAATTTACAGTTTGTAAAGATTACTTAGATTTAGTCTATATATGTACATATATATGTAGTGACAATTTGCCCACGCATGGAACAGTGACAGTCAACAGATAATATTATTAATAATAATAATTTAAACTTTGTGAACCCCATTCATTCTCTACATTTCACCCGTCCAACCCGTCCCTCTCAGGCAGGGAAATGGCTAATGAAATTAATCTAATGTAATAATTGTCACTTTCGACCAAAATCATAAATATTACCATTGATTACATGTGTGCGTAAAGTTATTTTAGACATTCACTCACCATTTTCATCAAGCTCGGCTTCTCCAGAGGAGCTCTAGAAGGGGATGAGGTCCTTTGGCTTGGTGAGGTCTTGTGTAGGGCTATACGACTCGACAATGTCCACGGGACAAACGGATCGTCACACCATGGACATTTGTCTTTTTCTTCTCCGGAACTGCCACTCTTGCTTAGAGCATCGCGCACCTTCATGTAATGTTGCCGAAGTTTTCCACTTTAACGCGGCACTGTGGAGAAACCGCTCAAACCCCCTCTCCTTCATCCGTTCGCTGAACTTGCTGAACACATCGGCATTTTTATGCGTCCTCTCTAGTAGCTGTGATATATATAGGAAACTGCCCAAATATCAATCAGACAGCGTCTCCTTGGAGCTCCAGGTCAAACCACGACTCATTTAGCTAATGTAGCACCACAACACTTACCCATAATCCAACTCTGACTATGGAAGCCTGTTAACTCAAAAAAGGCTCAGTGCCAAAGCACTGCAATTGGGTCAGGTCATGTTCACACCTTAACCGAACCGTACCAGAGTGGGTTTGCGACTGGGCCGAGAACACCTCTTCACACCATCTTCCTCTTGTAGACCAGGTTAGCATCTTTGATGCCTCTTTTTAGGATTGCTCTTGCGTTACTGTAGAGAGCCCCATCACCTGATGTGAAGGCCATATAACAAGCTCTGAGGAGAGAATTTACTTTTGACATCATCCAGGATTTCGGGTTTGGAAAGACCCGGATGCGCATATAACTATACATAATTACAAAAGAGCCATTTAACTCACAGAAAGAGGCCTTCGCAAAAACAAGCAATCACAAAAAGATGCATTCCATTCTGTGTTCTTTAAAATTAAAACAGCCCTATGATATGTGCTGTTTTTCAATCTGTTTGTTTTGGCTTTTATTATCCTGTACCGCCTCCCTGAGGGTAAGTTCAATGATGTGCTGGATGTGATGAGTCTTTCAGAAGGCTGCACAGGTGGTCCTGTACATCTCCTCTAGAGAGAGCCAGCCAGTGATCTTCTGAGCTGTGTAGATCACTCTCTGAAGCGCTCTCTTCTTTGACAGTGCAGCTGGCAAACCACACTGGAATGCAGTAGTAGAAGGACACCAGTAGCTCTTTAGCTTGGGCATTGTTTTTCAAGACCCTTAGAAAGTGGAGTCTCCACTGTGCCTTCTTGATCAGCATAGTAGTGTTGGTTTTCCATGTTAGATTATCATCCTCGTACGGGCTCAGAAATGTGAAATCAGAGACCCTCTCCACACAGTGATGTATATGGGCTGAGGGTCAAGTCAAGTCACCTTCATTTATATAGCGCTTTAACAATATACTGTAGATTGTTTTAAAGCAGCTTTACGATAATAGGAAATTAAAGTAACAGAGATTGTTTTAGCTTTACAGCAGCTCTAGAATAAAGTTATTGTCCAGCTAAAGTTAGTTTAAAGTTGCAGTAAACCTCGGGATAAACAGAGAGACTAATATTAGCGTAGACGCCATCCTTCTTATGATGTAGCGAGTACATCAAGATTTATGGGAAGTGTTCCCGGTTCCGGTTGATCTAACCTATGCAGCCTAACATTGAATTATAGAAGTCTATAATGTATTATGTGTATGCTAGGTCAAAGAGATGTGTTTTTAGTCTAGCTTTGAACTGACAGAGTGTGTCTGCTTCCCGGACAATGGTAGGAAGACTGTTCCAGAGTTTTGGTGCTAAATAGGAAAAGGATCTCCCGCCTGCAGTCGATTTAGATATTCTAGGTATTATCAACTGGCCGGAGTTTGGTATTATCAAGGGTCAGATCTGTTTCTCCTGAAATCCACTATTATTCTTCTGTTTTTGCAGTATTAAGGACCAAGTTGTTATCGCTACAACATGCTGTCAATGGAGTGGTTGTACGGAGTTGTTGTTGGCAATCAGTAGCTCCATATCGTCCATTTAGTGTGTGAGGGACCTGGGATTGGACAGGAACGAGCTCGGGAGCGGTGGTTTATGTAGGCCCGCCCAGCAGCCTCGCTTTGGCCTTCTCTCTGTCCGCCGCCTGCGCCGCTTGACGGACCCGACAACAATCCACATAGGCCCGGGAGGTTGCGCTTACTTAACTAGAAGCAAGAGATGATCGGTTCACGAGCAGCTTTAACTGAGGCTCTACAACGATCTGTCACCACACATTAAAGAGCCACAAAAAATGCTATTTATTGTTTAAACATTTTTTTAAATTACCAAATTTGAAAGTTGAGACTTTGTTTCATATCAAAAGTAACCGGCTCTGTCCTATCTGTCAGTCAGTGTCCTCTTTGCTCCGCGATGTGTTTTTCACTGCGTGAGAACGTGGATTGTCAGACATAGCAACAGTAACTAAAGGGGGCGGGTCTTTGCGAACAGTCAATTGCTCATTGTTTGGATCAGTATCTAAAGTGAAGATCATGGTAATCCACTAGTAATGACTTCCATCAGTGAAGAAACACGTCTTACCTCGGCGTGACTCCACCGCCCCCTACAGGCCACTGAGGTCACACACACACTCCGTCAGCTTCCGGTCCAGGGCGTCCACACACACACACACACACACACCAGCTCTGCCACAGCAGTCTAAGATCATGAAGAAGGCTCCCACGATTATAGTGCAAATGTATGCAATAATGACAAAGAACAAGTCCAGGTATTGAGTATTTTTTCAAGGCACTTGATTTCAAGATAAATGAAACACAATGACACTTATCACAGTTAACACTGACATGAGTTTTATTCACAGTATAATCTCACATGTTGTTTTTCAGCGTCGGTATGTGAAGTGGACCTCAGTGTTGGGGGCTTTGATTACAACAACCACTATAAACACCGGAGACATATTGAAACGAGATATGAAATTGATGTCATGCTGACATTAACACACACATTACAGCTGTGTGCATGTGAAAGATAACACACATTACAGCTGTGTGCATGTGAAAGATAACACACATTACAGCTGTGTGCATGTGAAAGATAACAGAAACAGAGACTCAACATCATGAACCTCAATCTGTGAAGCCTGAAACTATCAGATGAATACATCATACAGATCCACATTTATGCTTAAACACTCAACACATTGACAGACCTTACAAACACACACACAAACACACACACACACACACACACACACACACTAATGTGACTTTATGACCAGAGAGAGAGGAACTACAGCACATATAATGCACGTAACAACACACAACAGCAGTACAGGACATCTTTTGCTGTGTTTCTCAAGACGGTCTATATCTATATCTGAACGTGCGCCTTAGATTCAGGCTGGACAGTGTGGCCATCTATAGAAACAAATGTCATGTCTGATCACACATTCCTCAGTCCCAGAACAGCCTGACCTGCAGACCATCTCTATGAAGACAGATGTGATGCTGACAGCAGATCCATAGACCTCTAGTTTATGAACAGCACTGAAACCTTTTAGGAATGGCTTTGAATTAAAGTGTCTTCAAAATACAACACCGACCGCCCACAAATACATTATGTTGCCTTTGGACTGAATGATCAAACAGTACAGTATTTTACATTATTCACACACAGTTAAACAAGAAATATCATAATTTATATGTTGAAGTTCATGGACTCACTGCTGAAACCCGCTAGTCTCTACAAGAAGGAAATATTATCTGATTTTGGTCAAAATCTGTATAAGCCATATTGTATACATCTATAGGCCGTTCTGAATGGCATAAACTAATTGTAAATGAATCAAGCTAGCAAGCAATAGTAAAAACAACAGGTCTGAATCATAAACAAACATTCTTTGGAATGAAATTTTATGGAAAGTATTTCAAAACACTGTCATAAAAACAACTAATGAAAAATATGATCCAAATAAGAGAAAGGCATTGGAGGCTACACTAACACATTCAAATCTTTCAGATGACTATAGATAATTTATTGCTGATTGTCATCTCAGAATTCACCCTTCACGTCGGTCTGGAACTGAGAGGAACACTCAAATCTGTCTGTGCGCTGCTGTGGGTTTAAGGGATTGAGCTGCGTTCCATTTACCCCGGAAGAGGCATGTCGGAGCAGGAAATGAATTAGGGTTGTGCTTCCCCCGTTTCCCAGCTGCAACTGACTTGAGTGGTGTTCCAGTTAAAAGTTCCTAGGACTTTCCCACTTCCGAGGACAAATGGAACGCACCATTAGTTCAGCCAACAACAAAACATATAATTTACTCTTGAGTCATTTCAATCCTGTACGACTTTCTTCCCCTTCCAAAAAGCACCACGGAAGTATTCTATATGTTTTGCAGCCTTGTGTGAGAAATAGCCCCAAATGTAAGACATTTCTGGTACATAACTCTCCCCTTTCCAAGGTCATGTTTTCATGAATCACGTAGAGCTGTTCCCAGCCACATTCCTAGTTTGGACCACTTTTATGTTTCATGGAAAAAAAGAAAACAGTACAGGTATGGAATATCATGAGGCTGAGTAAATAATGATGATTCCCATTTTTAAGGTAAATTATTCTTTTGAGAATTGACAGTCAAACTAAGTGTTCAGAGATGTGGTGGAGGATCCAGTTCTACACCTGTGAGATGATCTGCATGTTGAAGCTGGGCGACCGGGAGTGTTTGGGTGAGAGCAGCTCTGTCTCGGGCAGATGTTGCTCCTGCAGGCTGAGCTTGGAGTATCTGCGCGCTTCAGCACCAGTTGAGCTCCATTCTGCGGTGGAGCTTACATCAGGTGCGGCTGGCCTGCGGTCGAGAGCCGTGGAGCTCACATCTGGCCTGCGGTCGAGAGCCGTGGAGCTCACATCTAGCCTGCGGTCGAGAGCCGTCGAGCTCACATCAGGTGCGGCTGGCCTGCGGTTGAGAGCCGTCGAGCTCACATCAGGTGCGGCTGGCCTGCGGTCCAGAGCCGTCGAGCTCACATCAGGTACGGCTGGCCTGCGGTCCAGAGCCGTCGAGCTCACATCAGGTACGGCTGGCCTGCGGTCGAGAGCCGTCGAGCTCACATCAGTTACGGCTGGCCTGCGGTCCAGAGCCGTCGAGCTCACATCAGGTACGGCTGGCCTGCGGTCGAGAGCCGTCGAGCTCACATCAGGTACGGCTGGCCTGCGGTCCAGAGCAGTCGAGCTCACATCAGGCCTGCGGTCGAGAGCAGTCGAGCTCACATCAGGTACGGCTGGCCTCCGGTCGAGAGCCGTCGAGCTCACATCAGGTGCGGCTGGCCTGCGGTCCAGAGCCGTCGAGCTCACATCAGGTACGGCTGGCCTCCGGTCGAGAGCCGTCGAGCTCACATCAGGTGCGGCTGGCCTGCGGTCCAGAGCCGTCGAGCTCACATCAGGTACAGCTGGCCTGCGGTCCAGAGCAGTCGAGCTCACATCAGGCCTGCGGTCGAGAGCAGTCGAGCTCACATCAGGTACGGCTGGCCTCCGGTCGAGAGCCGTTGAGCTCACATCAGGTACGGCTGGCCTCCGGTCGAGAGCCGTCGAGCTCATATCTGGCCTGCGGTCGAGAGCTGTGCAGGAGGTGCTGCTGCTCACCGGAGCTGGACACGGATGGGCTCTCCTCCGAGCGTCCCAGTGTTTCTCTGTGGACATGCGGCTCTTCTTACAGCTGCTCCCTCGGCCGGACGCACCTGGCACCGCGTTCCCACGGAAACCGCTCGGCTGGCTGCTATTGGACGCTCCGGACGAGAAGCCCTCATCTGGATCGTTCAGGACGAAGGACTCTTCCTCTCTGCTGGGCTGGTCTGGATCTGACAGACAGACAGATAGAAATTATGCAGACAAAAGAATGAAGATGAAATCTCAAATCACACTCACAAGAGATCAAATTTCTTTCTGATCGGTTTCCTTCAAAAGGTTTCACTATTACACTCCATTCAGCACTGCAGACAGGAAGTAAACGCTGTTGCAAAGGAAGTAACAGAAGAGCAAGATTCTCTACATAACTATGGTAGTTGTCAGATCTGTCCTGCATGGTGAATAATCTGACAATCAGTATACAAGAAAACTAGGATGCGCTTAAATATACAATCAGATCTGTGAGACTGTGTGATTTCATTGACTGTGTATTAATAGCTTAAACCAAGGAGCCAGGGCTAGAATGCACATATATTACCCCTTTTCCACCAACAAGAACCAGGTGCTGGTTCAGAGCTAGAGCTAGTGTCGGTTCGGAGTTGGTTCGACTGATGAGCCTCCAAAGAACCGGTTTGCTTTTCCACAGGCTAAAGAGCCAGCAAAGAGCCAGGTCTTACGTCACTGTATACATCTCATGTTGCCCAGAAACGCTAGCGCGGCAGCGCCAAACACAAACACACCAGGCTTGTTCGAGATGCATCGGCTTCTCGCAGACCGATTGGCGCATGACATCAAAGCACTGCAAACGCGATCGAAAAGCACAAGGAGTCGTATGCTCTCCACACACTCCCGCAGCTCCGATCGGTCCGCGCCGCTCCGATGCATCTCCAACAAGCCTTCTATCAACAATGACGGTCGTTGCGTTACTATTGATGCTCATGGCTTTGCGAACCTAACGTACATCGGCATCCAAACACTGCGAATACAAAGCGTTCGTGCAGCTCGCCGTAACTTGCATAAACGGAGATTACAATCGAGCTGCTATTAGCCGCTGAGGAGCCGAGCAGGTGATAGGAATCCCTACCAAAGTCCCACAGCTGCTGACCCCATCCAGTGCCCTGTGCAAGCCTCCTGCCCCTTCTTGCCTGGAAGAATGGGTAACCCATGTAGTGAGACTATTGAATAACACTGGGAAAGTGTGCCATTTCCGCTAGGAAGGAGAACGCTGCGGAAGACACATTAGTTATGTGGCGATATACATATGGACTAACCCGACGGTTGTACATATGAGATACAGGGTGACTTAGGCCAAGAGAAAGACACAGGCTTCTGTTTAGGACCAGGAATGGAATAATACACATATGGGATCCCCGCAGGGTTGCACATATGGCACCCAGCCTAGACCCGGTTTACTTCCTGTCTGCAGTGCTGAATGGAGTGAAATAGTGTGAAATCTGTGGTTCGAGGGCCTAGACTTGGTTCTCAAGGATTCAACAGGTAAAGGCCCCGCGCCGGACATGGCGGCGCCGAGGGTGGTGGAGGACTCAGAGGTGGGCCTCTCGGTGCTTCTACCTTTTTAGGGTGAGAACACGGGAGGAGACCGGCCCTAAACGTAGTCTATGAAACCTAGGTGTCGCCCAGCCCCCAGCTGTACAGATATCTGTTAGAGGCGCCACGCGCCAGCGCCTAGGAGAATGCAACGCTTCTCGTGGATTGAGCATGCAACCTGAGCGGGCAGGGCACACCTTGTGCTTGGTAAGAGAGCAGGACAGAGAAAAGCCAGGGCTGGGTCTGCCTCCTCCAGGGGCAGCGCTTGCAGGTTCACCACCTGGTCCCTGAACGGAGTGATAGGAACCATGGGCACATAGCCAGGCTCAGTACCACATGGTTGTTACCCCCCCCAAACTCTAGGCACGATTCGTCGACCAAAAATGCCTGCATGTCCCCTACCACCTTGATAGAGGCCAATGCAACTAGCACCAAACAGAAGCTTTAAGTCTGCAAATGGAGCATCCTGACCAGGGCAAGGTCCCAAGAGGGTATGGAGGGGGGTCGAGGAGGATTTAATCGTCTCGCCCCCCTAAGGAACCTGACGACCAGGTCATGCTTCCCTACTGATTTGCCAACAATGTGGTCGTTCCTCAGAGGAAAGAAGGTCCTTCCTCAGAGGAATGGGCCAAGGAGGGGCTGTCGCGAAGAGCACTAGTTCCGGGAACCAGGTCTGGGTGGGCCAATAGGGAGCAACTAGCAATACCTGCTCCTCATTCTCCCTGACTTTGCACAGAGTCTGTGCAAGTAGGCTCACTGGGGGAAATGCATATTTGTGAAGGCCCCGGGCCCAGCTGTGTGTCAGTGCATCCATGCCGAGTGTTCCCTCGGTCAGGAAGTAAAACAGCTGGCAGTGGGAGGTTTCTGAGAAGGGAATCAGGTCTACCTGAGCCTCCCCGAACTCTCTCCAGATCAGCTGAACCGCCTGGGGGTGGAGTCGCCATTCTCCCGGGAGCACAGCTCGTGATAACTCGTTGACCACACAGTTGAGCACATTGGGGACATACATGGCCTTAAGCGATGCTTCTGACTCCAGAGGAGGAGATGGTGGGAGAGTTGCGACATGCGACGGGAGCATAGACCACCTTGTCAGTTGATGTATGCAATGGTGGCAGTGTTGTCTGTACGGACCAGCACGTCCCTGCCCTGTAGCGGCCTCTTTAAGCGGCTCAGAGCGAGACGTACTGCTAGTAACTCGAGGCATTTGATGTGCCAGTGCAGTTGGGGGCCCGTCCACACCCCTGACACTGCATGCCCGTTGTACGTGGCACCCCAGCCGATGGCAGAGGCATCTGTGAATACCACAGCATGCCTGGACACCTGTTCCAAGAGCACTCCTGCCCACAGAAATAAGGGGTCTGACCACGGGCTGAAGGTCTGGTGGTACACCGGTGTGATTGTCACCCGGTGAGTGCTGCATTGCCACGCCCATCTCGGGCCTCGGCCGTGAAGCCAGTGCCGAAGCGGGCTCATATGGAGCAGCCCTAGCGGAGTTACCGCTGCTACCGACAAACGCGGCGGCGGGTTCACTTGAATTTATTTTTCTCATAACAGCTAAAATAACTTAATAGCCTATAGCTATTAATAAGCCTGTTACCTTATCCACTACAGTAAAAGACCTGGGTGTTATACTAGACCGCAACTTGTCTTTCGAAAATCATATTTCATATGTTACAAGAACTGCTTTTTTCCACCTTAGAAACATTGCTAAATTACGTAACATGCTATCTGTCTCTGATGCAGAAAAGTTAGTTCATGCATTCATGACCTCGAGACTAGATTACTGTAATGCTTTATTAGCTGGTTGTCCTGCATCCTCAATAAACAAGCTACAGTTAGTGCAAAATGCAGCCGCTAGAGTTCTTACTAGGTCAAGAAAATATGATCATATAACACCGATTCTATCATCTCTGCACTGGTTACCTATCAAGTTCCGTATCAATTACAAAGTACTACTACTGACCTATAAAGCCCTAAATGGTTTAGCTCCTGTGTATTTAATGGACCTTCTATCGCCCTACAATCCATCGCGTTCTTTAAGATCCCTAAATTCGAGGCTCCTGGTCATTCCTAGGATATCTAAGTCCACTAAAGGAGGGAGGGCGTTCTCACATTTAGCTCCTAAACTCTGGAATAGCCTTCCTGATACTGTTCGTGGCTCAGACTCGCTCTCCCAGTTCAAAACTAGATTAAAGACGCATCTCTTCAGCCAAGCATTCACATAATGCTTACCTTTTATACTACTGTTGAATCAGATCGAATGCACTAATATTATGAACAGCAGGTACGCTAATTATTTCCCATCTGCTTTTCTGCTGTTATCTCGGGACGCTAGTCCCGAGGTAAATAGCGTTCGTCAGCTCCAGTTTGTATCCAGCCTCTCACGGAGACTTCAGATGCCCCAACGCCTGCGATGAGATGACTCGACGCCTGTGAAGAGAAGACTCAACGCCGGCGATATGTTATGCCCTAAATTAGTACATGATGACTAACTAACTATATTCTTCTATGTACATTTCTGAAATGCACTTTCTGTAAAGCTGCTTTGAAACAATATGTATTGTGAAAAGCGCTATACAAATAAATTTGAATTGAATTGAATTGAATAGCCTACTCCGGAATTTTTGGTCATACAGATGAGAAATCATCTTTTAAAACAGTAAAAGGTCTACTTTTATTTATGTACAGTACACCCACAATAGGCTAACGACAAAACGTTTTCTGTCGTCTCTGGGAACTGCGCGTCAAAAAATATCTAAAGCTTTAAATGTGAATAAATATTATCTGATTGTGTAATCCATATGAAAAAAACGAGAGGCACTGAGGATCTACTCAAACATGTGTATGAGCGCTTCCCAATGAGGAAAGGACAAGAGTGAAAATCTCGCTCTAATTAAATGAAGCTAAATCACCCTGATTTAAATGTATAAAAAAATCTAATAATTTCAAACATAATTGTCGAAATGTTGCGATATTGTTTCATTTAAGTTCAGAATTATTCTATAAATGCTATTTAGTTTAACTTTAATTAGGTGCAATGAAGCTGATTGTTTGTACTATTTTATTGAGGAATGAGACGAATGAAGAGCGCTTCTCGCTCAAGAGCGAACACACACTGGAGAAACAAACGTTTGGCCATTTCTCAGTGAGTAAATTCATGGCCGAGTGGTAGAACTTACGTTTCGATCATTTAGATGACACAGGTTCAAATCCCAAACAAACATGGACTATTGTAAATTTTATATTAGCCAATTAATGCATTGTATAGCCTATTATTAATGCAGAGATATTTGTCAAGTTCTAAAACTCTGTTACACCCAGTGTTGGGCAGTAACGCGTTACTGTAACGCAGTTACTTTTGACAGTAACTAATACTGTAACGCATTAATTTTTAAATAAATTAACTCCGTTACCGTTACCATATGGCGCGTTGTCCGTTACTTTTTTAAATTAATTAGTTGCTGGAGCGGCTGAGAAGTGTGCGCTGTCATTACACAGTACGAGAGCACTGAAGAGACTGCTAGCATTATACAGAGCGAGAGGACACCTGAGGACACATGACAAACTCACTGGACACTGAGTTGTTTACGTACACGTGAGGCAGCGCGAGCACGGAGATTACAAGCTTCACAGAGAGCGCTGAGCACTTGATGCGCATTTAAAACACAGACAGCGAAACGGTATGAATACAGAACACTTAAGTACACATTGCCATATCATTATAAAATAATAATTTTTTTGACTAGATGCTGCATCAGCAGAGAAAGAACAGAAGCTTGCCGTCGAGTCTGAGAGGAATAACATTAGTAACGGCTAACTTACCTCAAGCGATTAAAGCAATGTGACAAAAACACACACAGACCTGACCCACATGTTTTATGTCGCAATTGTTACCATCTATTTGCATTAGTTTATGTCCAGCTGGTCACTTTTATGCATTCATTAGCCGGCGAAGTTGTATTTTTAAAACTAGTGACGTGATTGATTGCTTACATTGATGTGTTCATGCAGCCGACATCAAGTCTAATCAAGTGTTCTAAAATTTAAGCAAATAAAGTGAAAGACTGTACATGTAATATAGGTCTACATTTATGTAATTTTAATGCTCTGGCATTTGCAGATATTTAAATATGGCCATCTTCTTTAAGCTTGAATCATATAAATGGCAACACTTTACAATAAGATAACAATTTTAGCATTAAATATGGTTAATAAATGTTGTAGAAGTATCATTCATTGTTAGATGTATTTGTATCTCCTTAGTTAATGTAGGCCTACTATGAACTAACAAGAATGATCAAGGTACAATTGTATTGCTCAAATATTAATTCATGCACTAAAAACCACAGTGGTAAAAACGTATACTGTCAGCTGCATGAACATATCAATGTTGAGAAAGCAAACAAGTCACTAGCTTTAAAAATGCTTGTTTTGTTATTTATTTCAGAAATCCTTGATATATTCAGTTTGTGCTGGTCTGACTTAAAATAGTGTTTAAAAATTACTTTCTGTTTAAGTCAGTTTTGTGTTTGTATAGACCATAACGCATTAAAGGGCATTAATGGGAACATTTAAGAACTTTCTTTAAAAAAGTAACTAAAAAGTTACTTTTAACAGTAACGCATTACTTTTTGGTGTAAGTAATCAACAAAGTAATTGAGTTACTTTTTGAACGAAGTAACTAGTAACTGTAACTAGTTACTATTTCTTAGTAACTAGCACAACACTGGTTACACCATATAGTTTTTTGCTTATATTTATAAAATAAAATTACCATGCATTTCCGTTTTACACTAAGGAACAAATAGTATCCAACAGAATGACTTTACATCTGTATAATAATACCAATCGTAATTCCCTATAGCCTACATAGAGTTTTTAAAAACATGGTTTTAAGCAAGGTGCGATTTGCCAGGGGGAACGGGGATTTCCTTCAGGTCTAAACATCCCTGCTTCTGCTGAATTATTTTAATCTCAGACTCAGAGAGCCTGTGGGGGGTTTGGAGGGACAGTGGCTTTATTGTGCGTGCAGGACAATAGGTGTTAATGTTCCTCTTTCATATGGAGATGTTGATAGCCTGATGAGCAGACAAACGCAACATTCTTTTAACGCTAAATCTCTCGAGGTGTCCAAATGTAGGCCCTATATCTTATTAAATTATAAATATTGTAGTTTATTTATTGTGTGTTAAGTTTTTTCACACAAAATTTAAATTTAAGTGTTCAATACAGGTGTTTCAACTTGTTTTGTAGAGTTTTAGAATGTTTGAGCAGTGTGTATGATTGTCAACAATCTGGCATTATCTAAACATGAACTGTTGACGAAACGCTTTCATGCCAGTAAACGAATGTGAGTGATCAGCAGATACAGAGCTCTTTAATTCGCCATCAACCTCGTTTTATTGTAAGGTGAGTTCAACAAGACATGCTGTGTCTTTGAAGCAACAAAGACTAAATAATTTGCAGCGACATATACAGTATTATCAGCTGTATGATGTGTTTTTACCCTGAAATGTTTAATTTCGAGAGAGACCCGGCGCACGCAGCGAGGAAGACTAAATAAATTTGCTAAAAAGAGATCCAGTGCGAGAGAGGCAAAGAAAAAGGCATGTTCTTAATTTATGTTGCTTTGGACTATTTTCGTTTTGTACTGTTTTAATCATTTAATTTAGCTACAATTTCTTTTGCAATACAAATTTAAAATGCCGCAAGAATAAGATTCTGTGTTTCTTATTTTGCATCGCAAAGGAAATAAACTCTAAACTCGATGCAGCTGTTTTAAATAAATAAACTGTACCGACAGTTAGTGTAGCCAAGTCAACAAACTCAGTCTTTTTCTGATTTGTTCAATGGATCTGTTTTGAAACATTTCTTCCGTTGCTATGGCCGGGTATTACTGTCAGTCATCTCAATTTCGTGAATGATTCACAAAAAAAAATTAAGCAGATTAAAGACGAGCTTCATCATCTTCATTTTCTGACGCGATCGGCTGACAATCTTCCCTCATCAGTTTTGTCGTGCAGCGGCTCTACTGGAATGTAGCAAATTTATGTTGTAATGTGCCATTGATAATTAAACAAAACGCTTGACTTACGCAGTAGAGAGAATAAACTGACTCTTTTCAAAGTCTGTGATTGTAGCGCCTCTTAGCGGCAAAAGGCAGCAAATACACACTCGCAATTTACGGCCGCGGGAACCAGTATTATTTTGGTTGAGTACCAACAGTACACGCACTGCGAGGCAGAGCAGCTGATGCAAATCATTGCATGCTGGCTCGTTTAGTTACACTCGAAGTAGATTGGCCTTTCTGGGGAGATTCCTATTAGTCGGTTCAGTCCGACGTGGCGTCGAACGTGACCGACTGAAAGGGAACTCTTCAGCTTCTGCAAACCTTGTGTAATTTGCTGATTTTTGAGCATGATCATCAAGGTAGGAATGTGTGTCGATTCACTCTGCTGTGTCCAACATGGGCGAACGCCAATAAACCTTATTCCTGCAAAGAGTATTGTGGGTGTGTGTCTTGATGCTGCACAGCTCAGGAAGAGAAGCACTAAAGAATCTACACACTCTTCTGAAGTGTTGAGGTAGTGATAGTGTCTTCTTGGACCCTGGTTAGGTGAAGTCCACCAGAGGAAAAGGTGGTTAGAGTCCACCATAGGCACCTTCAGTCCGATAAATGTAGTTTAAAGAATTCGACACAAGATAATCAGACACATTGAGCATGCTTAGTGGTCAAGATGAAATGATAAGCTCAGGGATGAAACGGGTGTCCATGCAGCTGAATGCAAAGCAGAATAACAATAAGTGCTGTTTGGGCCTTAATTGTTGAAAAGTCTCTTTAAAAAACACTAAGTGAAATTAAGACACTTACATAAACTACGGCTGTAAATTCATTCAAATCTTCAACTAATAATTGCACAGATTTCTGCACCTAATTGCAATTATTATTAAGATAATACTAACATAAGGTAGTAAATTCAATTTTTTTCTTTTAGTTTGAACGTTTCAATAAACTTCAATCATCCCATTCACCAATAACAAATGTCTCATTTATCTTAGATTTTTTTATGAGAAAGAACCTCGGATGCTTCTCTGTCATCACTCTATCCACTCTCTAGTTTTAATGAGATTTGAATTTTGGTATCATGACAACACAGACCCCTAGTGAGTGAAAAAACAAAACTGGGGGACAAGCTGCACTGAGAATCATTTCGTAATCTAATCATCACCCTTCATCAATATCAATTAGAATTGTGAGAAATAATTAGAAATAATGTCTCATCAACTACTGAAATCCAGGAAATTGGTTCTTACATAATGTATTAAACACTTACATTTATGAACACTATATGAATGTAAGACAATTTCATCTCTGCATGAAAGGGATTTCAGACTTTCAGCAAATTGTGGAAATTGTGTGTCAGTGACGCAAGTTCATAGAAGCCGTTTTTGTAAGAAGCTTTTCGACAATGTATATGAATGAATTTTATTAACATTTACATCAATGTTTTAATTGCACTTTGTGTTTGCAGGAGACATGTCAATAAATGACAGCCTTCACGGCCCCATGCCACAGCCTGATGCTTCACACACGTATGTCCTACTAGGGCTTGGCATGACTTTGAGGTTTTTTGGGGAGGTACATTCCAGGAAAGCTGAGGGGGCCTAAAGGAGTCTATTGGGTGAGTCTAAGGGGGAAAGCCCGCCTCCATGATCTGACTCCACCCCCTGCCTACCCTCGTGTGTGACTGTGAGAGAGCCCCTCCCTCCTGGCTCAAGATTGGCGGCAGGATCCCAGGGGGCATGTCGGCTGGGGTAGATGGTGAGGCTGAATTCTGCATCACTTGAGAAGTCAAAACAATCTGGGATGTAACAGAACAGGGGGAAATGTGCTTCTTAGTGTCTGTGCCCAACGGGAACACGGTAAACAACATGATCAGAGTGCAACAATTTCCCACAGTGTGCTGTGAACCACACAAGAACAAAAAGACAGAAAAAGAACAGACACACAAACATCACTGACACATGTTCCATCACAGAGAACAATACTTTTCACATGTAGTCTGGACAGATGATGGAAGTTTATATTAAATGTTTTTGTATTTTTTATGTTGGCTTGAGAAAGCCAATATACTGATCTGGTATATATACAAAATCTGTATTATTGTGGTTAATAATAATAATAATAATATGAGACTAACATTTCTATCACTAAATAATTCTATAACTTTTCAGCTACATGCACAAAACTCAGCTCAGACATTCTGATCAGATTTAAGGCTGGAACATATTACTCGACTTCTAAAATCTGAACAGATTTTTAAAAAACTAGGTATACATACACTTTGTAAATGGTTACAGAGAAAATCTGGGAGGATCACACACTAGCAGACTTCCAAGTTATCTATCTATATATAAATCTATCTATCTATTTATCGAGACTACAGGTCCTTCTCAAAAAATTAGCATATTGTGATAAAGTTCATTATTTTCCATTATGTAATGATAAAAATTAAACTTTCATATATTTTAGATTCATTGCACACCAACTGAAATATTTCAGGTCTTTTATTGTTTTAATACTGATGATTTTGGCATACAGCTCATGAAAACCCCAAATTCCTGTCTAAAAAAATTAGCATATCATGAAAAGGGTCTCTAAACGAGCTATTAACCTAATCATCTGAATCAACTAATTAACTCTAAACACCTGCAAAAGATTCCTGAGGCTTTTAAAAACTCCCAGCCTGTTTCATTACTCAAAACCACAATCATGGGTAAGACTGCCGACCTGACTGCTGTCCAGAAGGCCATCATTGACACCCTCAAGCAAGAGGGTAAGACAGAAAGAAATTTCTGAACAAATAGGCTGTTCCCAGAGTGCTGTATCAAGGCACCTCAGTGGGAAGTCTGTGGGAAGGAAAAAGTGTGGCAAAAAACGCTGCACAACAAGAAGAGGTGACCGGACCCTGAGGAAGATTGTGGAGAAGGACCGATTCCAGACCATGGGGGACCTGCGGAAGCAGTGGACTGAGTCTGGAGTAGAAACATCCAGAGCCACCGTGCACAGGCGTGTGCAGGACATGGGCTACAGGTGCCGCATTCCCCAGGTCAAGCCACTTTTGAACCAGAAACAGCGGCAGAAGCGCCTGACCTGGGCTACAGAGAAGCAGCACTGGACTGTTGCTCAGTTTTGCATGTCATTCGGAAATCAAGGTGCCAGAGTCTGGAGGAAGACTGGGGAGAAGGAAATGCCAAAATGCCTGAAGTCCAGTGTCAAGTACCCACAGTCAGTGATGGTCTGGGGTGCCATGTCAGCTGCTGGTGTTGGTGCACTGTGTTTTATCAAGGGCAGGGTCAATGCAGCTAGCTATCAGGAGATTTTGGAGCACTTCATGCTTCCATCTGCTGAAAAGCTTTATGGAGATGAAGATTTAATTTTTCAGCACGCCCTGGCACCTGCTCACAGTGCCAAAACCACTGGTAAATGGTTTACTGACCATGGTATTACTGTGCTCAATTGGCCTGCCAACTCTCCTGACCTGAACCCCATAGAGAATCTGTGGGATATTGTGAAGAGAAAGTTGAGAGACGCAAAACCCAACACTCTGGACGAGCTTAAGGCCGCTATTGAAGCATCCTGGGCCTCCATAACACGCCGCATTGAAGCAGTCATTTCTGCAAAAGGATTCCCGACCAAGTATTGACTATTGAGTGCATAACTGAACATAATTATTTGAAGGTTGACTTTTTTTTTTGTATTAAAAACACTTATTTTATTGGTCGGATGAAATATGCTAATTTTTTGAGACAGGAATTTGGGGTTTTCCAACATGACATCATGACTTTGCGTAAACATACACGCCACTTTCAAGTCAAGTGGCGTGTTATCTATACGCATTTTGAGCTATCCGCGTGTATGTCCACGCCGAAATCTTTTGCGTGTATGTCTACGCCATTAAATGTCCGAGTGATTCCGCGTGTATGTGTACGCCGTTAAATGTCCGAGCGAAACGAAGCAAAATCTATATCTACATCTGTGGAGCGATATCTCTTTTCCTAGGATGGTGGGGGAAGACTCATAAATGGTATTAACCCCAGTGACGGGTAGGTTTAGGGACGGGGTTGGGGTAGGTCATATATTTATATATACATAATACAGTAATATAACGTTGTCAAAGGCGTTGATAAACACGCTGAAAAGCGATTATGCGTGTTGATAGCACGCCAAAAATGAAAATACGAATTGTCGTGTCATACATACGCCATTTCATGAGATCAATCTGGGTTTTCATGAGCTGTATGCCAAAATCATCAGTATTAATTAAAACAATAAAAGACCTGAAATATTTCAGTTGGTGTGCAATGAATCTAAAATATATGAAAGTTTAATTTTTATCATTACATTATGGAAAATAATGAACTTTATCACAATATGCTAATTTTTTGAGAAGGACCTGTATATGCTAGAACTGTCACACACCGGAGCAGACAAACGGCAATAATCAAGGTGAGAAACATCAAAGTAACTTGCAGGAAAATGGATGAATACTAACACAGTCCCTTTGATCACAGGACACACGCTGCTGAAGAAGATTAGGAGCCACCACACAATGTAGTTATTTCTTACAAACTTATTACAAGACAAGACAAGACAATGGTGTTAAGGTAAGAGTGAGTATAAATATTGGCCATGAGAGGTAATAGTGAACAGGTGAAGGTGGTCAGTTTTCCGGCAAATGAGAAGGGATTGGGGTGGGAGAACCAGGGGAAGGCATGGCAGTACTCCCCCCATGGACCGCTCCAGAGGAACAAGACCCTCAATGCAGTGGCAGGCCTCTTCCACACGGTGCCGGACACTCTGGATAAGACACGTGGTAGGTGATAAGTAAGGCAGATCCAGGATGTCGTTTCGAACCACCCATTTTTTCTCTGGCCCATACCGTTACCAATCACACAGACACTCGAGATGACCTCCTCTGTGCTGAAAGTCTAGAATGCTCTTGACAGTATAGACAGGATCTCCATCAATCAGCAAAGGAGGAAGGAGTTCACATCCACCACCTGGTTCTGTGGCGGAAGCAGGTGTGCGTAATGGTTTGAAGAGTGAGACATTGAATCCAGGATGAATCTGGGTTAATCTCGGGGTTGATGAGAAAGGGCCCAGTGAAATGTAGACTTTTTAAATGGGAGCTGTCGTCAGATTTAATGGCTTAAGAGCCAGACATTCTGCCCGGGCTAGTAGTTGAGTGGAGATGACCTCTGGGCATCACCCTAGCTCTGATGACGGCATCTGGCTCGCTGAATGTGTACAAAGGCCCTTCCAGACCCTCTTGCTCTGACAGAATCAGAGAACAGTTTTGAGATGGGAACACAGACCTGACTTGGGGGACATCCCACAGAAGCAGGCTCCTGGAGGCCGGCTTTGGCGATTCTCTCATCCACTGGATGGGGCAGACAAAGACAGAAGATGGCAGGAAGGGCTCATCCGTTTGGCCGCATCCAGTTTTCATGTGTCCATCTGCACACCATTGGGGCTAATAATATAACCTAGAAATTGCACGGAAGGATGTGGAATGAGTACTTTTGAGCCTCGAGGAACAACCTGTGTTCACGCAGATGCTAAAGGACCAAACATGCTTACAGTGTTCCAGGAGAGAAGAAAAAATAGAATGTCATCAATGTATACAATAACAAATTGAGAGAGATAATCTCGAAACACCTTGTTCATAAACCCCTGGAACACTGATGGAGAGTTAGTCAGGCCTTTTTATTCAGAATTTCTTGGTCGCAAAGAAGCTTGAGACCATCAGAGAAGTGGATGGGCAAATGTACCCCTGATGTACGACCTTCACATACTCCTCTATGGCCCTCTGCTCCAGTCACAAAAGGGAGTACACATGGCTGCATGGCACAGTCCTAGAGTAGGTGAGGAGGAAAGGCAGAAGCAGTGACGGCAAACACTCCACTTCAGGATTTCCCTGGTTTTCCATGAAAGTTGGGAAGCATGGGCGATTAACCAAGGTATCCCTAGGATGATAAAACTAGTGAACTCTGATAGGATGAACAAAACAATTCTCTCTTTGTATGTTCTCTAATTGAAGGGTCGTGGTTTGCTGTTTGATGTGTCCAGAAACCAGGGGCTATCCCATGAAAGACTAAATAAATCTTGAAATAAACTACTTCCATATTCAACTTCCATTTGCCCATTTCAAAGCACGATCAGAGAGACAAGAAATAATAAATGCCATCTTCGCTTTCTCATCCATGTCCAAGGCTATGGAACACTGAAAGACACTTGGAGACTTCTGTTCTAGAAGTGTTGCCCGTGGGAAGTAGCGAAGAAGAATGGGAGGCGGAAGTATGTAATGGTAATGGTAAATGGACTGCATTTATATAGCGCTTTCACAGACCCAATGGCCACCAAAGCGCTTTACATATTTGCCTCTCATTCATCCATTCATACACTCATTCATACACCGACGGCGGTGTCTGCCATGCAAGGCGCCATCCAGCTCGTCGGGAGCAGCTGGGTTTTGGTGTCTTGCTCATGGACACCTCGTCACTTGGTCAGGTGGAACCGGGGATTTAACCACCAACCTTCTGGTTTGTAGACAACCTACATGAACCACTGAGCCACTGCCGCCCACTGTGGAGGAGCGCTGGCTGATTGAGACAAAACAGATAGTGGATTAGAGGTGCCCTCTTTGCCACTGGCCGGTGAGGTTGGAGAGGTTTGTAGAAATTGTAGCAGATCTTGCACCAAGGTCTTGATGGTAGCAATAAACAATCCCGGTCAATGTGTTAGCTCCATGTTGCAGTGTTGGTTTTGTCTTCTGTCATAGAAGACTAAGACAATGAT